ATATGAAAGATCCTATATTTTTTTCGATGAGGAATCACCTCCTTAAATGTTTTACACTTATTTAGTTACACCCTGTATAGATAATGTATGTAATTCTAATGGTTAATACTGATTGCAAGTAATATATTCTCACAGTTTCGACTACTACGATCTATTTATTGTTAATAGTATAATAACTCATTGAAATTTGATTTGACCATTAGCTTTCAAATTTCGAGGTTATGTTGTTAATTTCTTCCTTTCTTTTTTTGAAGGTTTTCCGTATTTTTCAGTTAATCATGGAGAATCAAAAAACAAACAGCTATTTTCTGAAAAAACTGGGCTCTCCTAAAAATAACCCCTTTTCAATTCAACTTTAGAACATTCTTATGGCTGTTTAACGATCCACCGATTTGACTTCTGTCAGTGTCATTTTTGAAAATCGAACGTTTTCTCTTTAATTTTTTTTCGAAATTTTTTGGCCCATACGCCTCGCCATGGCGAAAACTGGAGAAATAGGCAACCTGTACGGCAAACCCGACATAGAACGACTCGGCCTCTTCTCTGAAATGCCCTACATGAACGGAAAGGGCTACGTATCGTTGTTCCCGAAGCCCCGCGTCAACAAAGGACGAAACATAATGGGAGAGGGGCCCAAAGTGAAGACCGGCAAGCAGGACTGCTACTTTGATAAAGAGTTCAAAAGGTTGTTCGTCGGCGAGGCCCTCAAAGGTAGGGGAATGAAGAAGGCACCGAAGGTGAAGAACGTTTCGGAAAAACCCTTCGTTCCAGCCGGCGAAACGAAACTACACTCGACTCCTGGGGATCACTACGGTACCTTCGGAGGGAGGATCGAAGCCTTTGGAAACCTTCGGAGGCCGAAGCCGCCTTACAAGAGAGAACCTAGGAACGCAGTAACGAGCCTCGGAAAGCAAGGAGGCTACGGCTACGCTAACATATGCCTGAGTCCTTATCCTACCCACGATGCGGACAGGTACGGCGCCAAGCCGAAGTACAAGATGTACGGCCGAGTGTTGGACGGCCCCATGCTCACCAATCACTACCCCCAGCCTTACTTCGAGCGTAATCCCTTCAAAGACCCGCCCGATATAAAGCCGGGGCCTACTTACGTGAGGCCGCAGGAGAAGACGCTGCCTCCCTTACCGCCTGGCAAGTTGGTCCCCACGGGGCCAGCGAAGCTTCCCGGAGGATGCCACGCCGGTTGCTTTGATAAGTTTCCGGAGTACAAGCCCGACAAGTATCTCACTCTTTATGAAGTGCTTAAGCCGAAGAAACGCACTGGGGGGAAATTCTATCCCCAGTCGACTGCCGAGAAGACTTTTTATACGTGTTCCGTGATCAACGAGAACTTGAGGTTCAGAGTTAACGCGAAGAACCATGGCTCTTTCGAACCAACCTACATAAAATATTTGGTTGATTGAGGGTGCGGGGAATGAATTCGATGCGCCAGAGTTGTTTGAATAATTCACAGGTCGATCGATCTTGTTTGCACTTAATTTTAAGTTGTAAACCGTTCACTGATTAAACTAAAATCAACAAACTCCGTTGTGTAAATATATGGCAGGAAGAAATATACAAGTTATAATTTCAAAACATAATAAATACACAGATAGTTTTCTTTCAAAATGGAAAATTTTGTTAGATGGCCGTTTCTGATGCATTTTTAGGTGAAAATTTAAGGCAGCGAAAAGTGAGCAACTATTCGGGGTGATTCATGAAGATTTTGAGTGAAGTTCATATTTCTTTTTTGAATCAATGTCCAGCAAAATTATCTGTTTTTTTAGAAAACTTTTTGAAATTCGGTGTGGCAGGAGAAGTGCAGGGCGTACATCTCGACATCACCAGGTGAACGACATATTGAAACGAACTATGGTGTCAGCGGATGTTCCTGGAACCCTTAGGTATAGTATGTCTCATACCATGGAAATACGGTAAACCTGTGGTATGGGACTTTACATGCTTTGACACGGTCGCGGCTTCCCATTTAGCCGAAAGTTCGAAGTCTGCTGGAACCACAGCATTGTCTGGCGAAAAATTGAAACGAAAAAAATACCAAAATCTTGGTGACAACTATATATCTTTTCCGTCCAGTAGCGGTTGAAACTTTTGGTGTTTATGGCCCAGAGTCTCTGTTATTCGTTAATAAACTAGGAAGGAGAATAGGCCAAGCAACGAAAGATCACCGTTCTACCTCTTTTTTAATAGAAATAATTAGTATTGCTCTATTCAACGTGGTAATGCTGCTTCGGTCCTTGGAACTATTCCTCCTTCACATAATTTTGATGAGATCATGTATTGCCCTTATTTCAGTACGGAACTGAAGTATCTTCGAAACAAGCCGGGATATGTGGATATTCATCAGTCTCCTATCAAGGTTAATTCACAAGTGATTGATCCACCTTCTTCTTTTTCAGTACGGTCAATGGGCTTAGGTCATTCTTGCCCCCCAAATATGAGTTGCAGTCCTCGAGGTTCTGGTTCCCTTTCAGTGGAACAGCTTCATGAAGCAAGAGCAGAATCGATCCCTTTACGAAACCCTTAATCAATTGGAAGGAACGATTGCAGCTTGAGAAATGTTTCTGATACAGATTCTGTGAAACATGTTCTTCCTCACGAATCAGTAGACAGTTGTCCTGAAAATCTTGAGAAGAAAATTGGGTTAGATAATTAAGGAAACACTTACTACATGAATAGCATTTTACAAGTGTTGTTCATGACGAAGAATTTTGAGAACGAGGTTTTTATGATGAACCAGAACGACAATGTTTCCTACGTATTCATCAAACCCAAACACCTGTTCATGCAGCTGCAGTTTCGTAAGAAGGTATCATCTTTCCCTCCAACCGATTTCCTGGAGTCTTTGAAGTCCACTAGATACTCGTTAGGACAACAATAGGATTGTCCCGAATTCTTGGGGTACTCCTGACCGCTCTGGATTGAATGATTCAGTGCAGTCTATCTCGTTTTGTGTTAGTAAATCTTTTGCTGGAAAAATCCTCACGTGTTTACTTTGTAGTAAATGTTTCCTGATATGACTAATAATCATTCCGTGCAAAGCTTATTGTTAAATCATCTGAAACTTCATCTGAACTTTTAACAGGTGATGATCGACTGTATTGCCAAATATGCGCCAAACTAAGTGACTGTTATAAGAAAACCAGTATAGCCGAGGCACCAGTCAATCTAATAATAACACTGATGATCTTCAAACATGACTCAACCTCGAACGGAATCACCAAACTGTTATGAAGGTTCGAAGTAGATGCACACTTAAATCTATCAGACCACTATTATAATATTCATGCAGTCATTGTTCACTGTGGTTCTGGCGTTGAATTTGGTCATTATTACGCCTTGTTCAAAGACGAAATGGAACTTGTTTAAGTTTGACGATAGTCGTGTCACTAGGTGTTCAGGCGAAGTATTGAATTTATTGGAGCCTCTGGAGACACCCCACATTTTGTTTTATGAAAGAAAGGACATTGGCAGATTATGATCTTCAAATGATGTGGTGCTTGCAGGTTTTTCCGAGTTTTCCTGAAGCTGAAAGAGCAAATGCGCCACTGGAATCTGTCTGTCTGTCTGTCAGACAGAATATGATCTTCAAATGATGTGGTGCTGCAGGTTTTTCCGAGTTTTCCTGAAGCTGAAAGAGCAAATGCGCCACTGGAATGGATGAAGTCTCCCCGGAGCGTCAATTAATTTTTGTTTTATAAATATTTTGACAAAATATTGAGGAATGAATATGTATAGCTCATTTGAGCGCTTTCTTTTTTAACCGATTTCCCCCTTCAGTGCAGCGTAATCCGGAGCAGTTAAAGTCCGTAGACTTGTGGATTCTTAAAATCGAAAATAGTGACGTAGTTTGGTTTCAATTTTTTTCTTTGAATGCAGCAACCGCTTCTTCAGGTGTCGAAAAACGTTGACCTCTCAGTTTGTTTTTTACGTGCGAAAATAAAAAGAAGTCATTCGATGCCAAGTCAGGACTATACGGCGGATATCTCATCAAATCGATGTTTTGGGTACTCAAAAATGCCGTTGTTTGAGCCGATGTGTGAGAGCTTGCATTGTCGTGGTGAAGAGTGATCCGTCTTTGGCGGTTGGTTTTCCTGATTTCTTGGAAGACAATAACTGGCAAACAAATGGTTGTGTACCACTCAGAATTGACTGTTCTGCGTTGTTCTAGTGGTGCGGTTGCGACATGTCCACTTTTTCCGAAAAAACAGGCGACCATTTGCTCGGAAGTACTTCATGCGCAAACAACTTTTGTTGGATTTGGCTCGTCTTGAAACACCCATACAGTAGACTGCTGTTTACTTTCGGGCTCATACGCTTAAATCCACGATTCATCACCTGTCACGATGTCATAGACGTGTTTCGAAGCACCGCGATCGTATTTTTTGAGCATTTCCTTCGACCAATCGACATGAGGCTTTTTTTGAGCGATTGATAAATTGTTTGGGATCCAACGCGAACAAATTTTTTTGCAGTCAAATGTTTATGCAATATTAAATGTATGCTGGTCCCACTAATGCCTAAGGCCTAAGGTTGTCTCAATCTCACGATAGGTCACATGACGACCTTGTAATGTCAGTTCCCGCACAGCATCAATGGTTTTCAGAACAACAACTGATTTTGGACGACCTTCACGAAATTCGTCTTGTCGTGAACTACGACCACGATTGAATTCACCATACCATCGATAAACACTGATCCTTGATGGAGCTTCATCTCCAAAAATTGAATTAAGATCATTAATGCACTGTTGCTGAGTTAATCCACGTCGAAAGTTGTAAAAAATAATCGCACGAAAATGTTCACGATTTAATTCCTTTTTTGGGCCGAGATGATACTTTTAAGTTACTGTTAACAACACAAATAGCGCGCGTATGTTGAAACGTTCTGAGTACGTATAGCTTCAAAATGTCCAACTTTACGATAGAGCTGTAAGTTGTCAGATTGCAACACTAGGGTTGCCAAATCCCGAAACGTAAAAGGCAAACTATCGTATATAAGACATGTTCAATCCGAATCGAAACATTATTATAATTAACAGCAATTCAATTGGCTTCGACAAGAATGAGCGATGTACAGTTTATGTATGTGAATAGTTTAAAAATAAGGTAAATGTTCAAATTTCGCGGGCATCGTACATTCGTATGCGTAGCGTTTTTTTTATGTTGGTACACTTGTCTCGAACATATGTTCACAGTTTCAGTTGCTTAGCATGTTTGTTGGTGAAAGGCATAAAAGTTCGGCGATCAAATAATTTGCATCCACTTTTGTATAACGAATGGAATTACGAATTAGTTATGAAAAACACTTGAAATGTTGACAGTAGCATACGATGATTGTATTCAGAGTCAGCAAAATGTTTACGAGTGGTACAAGCTTTTCACAGCAGGCCAACACGTTCGTCCTGGACGCATATCAATAACAGATGAAATTGAGAGAGAGCGAAGAAAATTTTTATGAGGGTGCCGGCATATCGGTTGGCTCATGTCATGCAATTTTTTCGTAAATTTTGGGTATGAATCGTGTGGCAGCGAAGTTCGTTCCAAAATTGTTGAATTTTGACAAAAAAACGAGCCTGTTCGACGGCGATTTAGATTTGCTTAAAAGGGTCATAACTGGTGATGAATCATGTGTATATAAATTGAAAGGGTATATTTTCAGGAGAGATTCATTTTTGAAAAAAAAAGGTTTCGACTTTCTACTTCTCCATCTTGATGTGGGAATCTTCCAAAGAAAGGAAGATAACTGAATTGAACAAGCTGCATTTTCAAATGGTTTTTGAATGCTCATGGTACCCACCAATAATAAGAAATTTAACGTTACTGGTATATTAGCCATATTGTCATCCAGTCAGCCAGCGCCTTCTGTAGTGAATGCGACAATGTGCTCTTTCTAATGTCAACGTTTTCACAAACTTCGTATTTTTGTTAAAATAATTTAAAAATGAATGTTGAGCCTTGTTTTGTTAAAGCTGACTCTCGACAACTCACCAAAAGTCGATTTTGAAATGATCGATGAATTTCACTTGAAAAATTTGCATTTGGTACCGAAATGAAGAATGAAAAATTGAAACGGTAGGTGGTATATTTAGTAGATCCCTTTTATTTAAATGACATTCATTTCAGACTTTGTCTTTTATCGAAGGATAGAAAGTTTTGATTCAATTTTTATTTTATCTCGGCCAACGAGCAGTATGGTGTCTGAAAAAAGAAGCAAAAATATGTACAGTGAAATGTAGAATTACTCCAGTACACATCAATCCAAAAATAACCAGAAAATATATTGGGCGCCCATTTCTATTTTATCCTCTTCAAAGTAGTTCCCCTCAAACTACTAGTACTAGCGTTTTTTCTTAGCCTCGAAGTAGTTCTGATACGCGTATATAGTTATAACATGTCTTATCGTC